CTTCCCGCGTGCATCCATAACTCGACATACGCACGCTAAGCATGAACCAATTCTTTATTTTCAACGGGCTTAATAGTCACAATATATGATCTAGAGCGATACCACAATTTTTAGCCTAGCGCAATTTTAATGGCATTTTAAGTCAAAAAATTTCTAAAGTAGTTAGAATCAAGTTAATTCGAAAGTGTTTAAAACTTTGCAATTTTCTCGGTGTTTGGACACGCTTATGTTCTAGTACTCAAATTTACGCTATTTCCGCAGTTATCAAGTTACGTGCAACTTCCTTAGTATTTCGGCTAAGGGAATTCAGTATCTAAACTCGGGTAATCTAAGCGAGCGAGTCGAGCGATTTTAAGAGGTTTTAAACTTTTAAAGGATTTCAGTAGTATTTCCTGACTCGCCAAGAGAGGATGATATCTTGTACCGACGCAATTTTCACGGGATTTTGCCGGATCTGCGCAATTACCACGGTAGTATTTACATAATTTCAATAACTTTTCTAAGATTTACCCAATTTCCACTATGTCCAAATGAGAGCTTTATTAGTTCAGACGAGAGACGATGAACGCCTCCTGTTTCTAATGGTCAAGCATGTCCATGAACAATTTCCTCACAGTTTAAGCCCGCGCATTTTTTGAACTACTTACACAGAATTAGAGCATTATCTGGACTGGCAAATTTTAACATTATGCAGAGACCTGCAAATATCACGCAAGTTCCAGAGTGTTTAGACACGCGCAATTTACTCAGAATTTAAAGTTTGCCCAAATCATTTACACTCACGCAATATCCACATAGCTCATCTAGACCAGTGGCAACAAATTCCACAACATTTAGACTCTCAATCTTATTTCCATAGTGCTTAGATTCACCCAATTTCGTTTTTAGTTACACAAATGCAATTTTCATAGTATTTAGATTGGCGCATTTATTACAGCATCAATAAATTTCCTCAGTTTGGTTAAGTAAAGCTTAGTTTCCAAGTTATTAGAATCTCAGAATTTCCAAAGTATTTATAATTGAATAATTTCGTCACAATCTGCCCTCCTCGGATTGGCAAAATTTGCACTCAAAGAATTTCCACTTTATTTAGACGCGCACAATTTCCACAGTAAGCAGAGATCTGCAAGTCCCACAATAATCATGTAGACTTTTGAAAATGGTCACACTTTATAGACCCGCTTAGTTTCAAATGTTGAAAATCGTACAATTTTTAATTACAGTATTTCGAAGCCCGCTGATAGAATTTAGACTTACGAAATTTTCAGTGTTTAGGCTCGGGCAGCTTTTTTAGATATATTCCTGTAATATCAAACATTATTTTCCGTATTTATTTTCGTGCATTTTCCACGTGTTAATTAAAAGTAATTCACACAATCTTCAATTGTTAATTTTCCTTAAATCCTCGCTCTTTGGTCTCAAGTATTTTCCTTAGTATGCAGCTTTTTTCATAGCGCTAGCTACTGCTCAACTTCCAGACTATTAAAATCTTCTATAGTCGCTATAACATTTTAAAACAATATTTGAACAGTAACGACCATAAATTTTCTGCTGTTGTTCTAACAACGGATATTTCATACAAATGAAGATCGACCTTGAGGTATTTGAGACAAGAACCATACGTCCACATACATGTATACTGTAGTTACCTGATATGCCTGTGGCTAAGGAACTGAGAAAGACAAGAAGAAATATAGTATTCCTCATCTCGACCGCAATCGACAGACTCACAAAAACTTCAATAAGTTTCGCAAAGATGAAACATTGTTGATCGGAAAGTAGGTTGTTAATTCGGTTCCTTCACTTCCACTT